CGAAAGAAACGCAAACGCAGGACGACGATTCGCACCACTACGTCCTCGACAAGAGACAATGGATCTGGGGCACCACCCCCTCAACTCATGGGCCTGAGAGGGCCTGAAAGCCCCAGATCCGGGTTCCGACACATGTGGAGGTTGCATGACATCAGTCGTGCAATGGTATTGCAAGTGAAGGTGGTGGGCCTGACGGTCATCTGCAATAGGGAACTCATCAAAAGCAACACTTAGTTGGGGAGAACAGTGGCAAAACCATGCGAAACATTGCGAAACCTGACAGAAACACCATCAACAGGGATCTGTGCAGATCAGGGCGAAATTTGGCTAATTTCTGCCAAATGCCACGTCTCCAGGACAGAAAACAAACGCCACCAACACACCGTTGCATCTGCTCCCCCACCGCTCGCATTGCTTGTTTTGGGCCCAAAGCGTTTCCGCCCACGGCTGCGTGCCACGTCCGACCCATGGCAAGTGCAGAAGAGCATCCAAGGTAAAGAGACCCGTGAAGATATTCTCACCCATCCTTGGTCAAGGGATGTGCCCGGGCACATTGCGACTGGAGAGGCGTTTGGGTGGGCCAGCGAGAACCCAAGAAGTTCTTTTCTGAAACGCATGCTAAACCTTTTTCAACCAAGAAGACAGTGAAGTGGGACACCTTGCAAAGGAAACCTTGCCGCATCGATCGCTCCACTTGGATCCATGTTTGGTCCGTTGTGACACAGCTTGTGGGCAGCCAAGGCTCGAGAACACGCCAGCCCAACCTCAAGACACTGAAGTGGCCATGCAAATCTCTAAACCCTTATCCCCATGCATTCCTCGCACCCAAGTTCTTCTTCGAACACAGCTCACTTGGAGCTAAGAAGGACGTGGACATACTGTTACATGTATCACTCTTTGGGGGTTTCATGGCTTTTCCATCTAAGTCCATCCAGGGCACTTTCTTGGACCTCCGGGTCCATCTCCTCACTTGTGAGCCCCAGAAGGTAGGACATCTGCGCCCTCAGATTTGGCATCATGCAAGAATGGTGGGAGACCCAAGAACGGGACCGGTGATTTCATGATTTCATGTGATTTGGTGCGGGGGAAGGCTCACCTTTGGAAGCCGGTCACCTTTGGAATCGCTTCTTGGGACAGGAACTTCTCTTAGCAGTCTTTCCATCTGCCCATTCCATGCCATTCGTTGATATCAAAGAAAACACATAAGGAAACACCGCGAGGAAACCGCGTGCCGTGTCCATCTCCCAAACAGGCTTTGCAAGCTCGCGCCCCACTCCACCGGCTTCGGTCGCCGGAAGGCCCGAAGAATTGCAACTCGATGGCCATCCAAAGGACATTGAGACCTGACGAAATGGAAGGCGATGCACGAATGGATGCGAACCCAAGGATGGGATGGTTTATGATGCATGATGCAACTTGTTATATGATACAATACATGATGCAATGACTGATGCAATGCTGTCTGTTCAAGACTTCAAGACGTTGAACACTCGAAGTTGCTTCGGATACTACGTCATGTCAGTGCCACGGATTCTACGTCATGACCACGTGCAGCCAAAACGCAAAGCAGCCCGGCGACCGCCACCTCATAGCGGTTGGACACCAGAAAGGCCTGGCGCTCAAGGAAAACAATCTGCGGACAGTGTATGCCACGTCGGCCGACTTTGGTCTTCAAACTGCTGATTCAACATGTTTCAACGTCTATTCTGTGACTAGTTTCAAATCCCCCTCCGCAAGAATCCTGCATTGCAACATTGAAACAACTTGCTGTCTCATTATGTCCACCCCAGTTTCCGAGACACACTTGAAAACCAGTGCAACGATGGAACTGGACAAACATGGGATTGTCGACAAAAAATAACATTTCCTCGTTGATGACTTCACTGCGTACTTCATTCTTCCGGCTCGATCCTGCGGCTAAAACCCTGCCCCCTTTTTCTGGTCAAGCCAATGCTTCAAAGCTCTCGGTAGCAGGACCGCGCCTTGAGTTTCTCCATGAGGCTCAGCTTGTGGTAGTGTTTGGTGAAGCTGAGCGCGACGTAAGGCGCAGCAAATGATCAAACCCGTCTGACAGCCCACCCCCCCTACAGGGTTTGGACAACAGCCAAACCCTGTAGGGAGCTTCAGGTTGGGTGGGCCATCAAAGCGTTTGTGTGGCTCCGGTGGCTCCTCACGTCTTGGGAACCCAGACCTGGTCCACCCCGACCTTCGACCAACCCTCCGACCGAGAAACACGCCACAGCCGTCGCATCACCACGCAGTCACCCGTCCCAAAAACATCGTGGCCGCCGTCGCAACGCGTCGCGTTAACAACGCGGAACGCGATCGAGGCACGCCAGATCCTCATCATCATCGGGTCTCATGAGGTCATCCAAATCCTGAGGATCTGCATCCGGAACCGAAAGGGATGGGCCCCACTCGACTCCAACCACAGAAGGCAGGCAATGAAGCCTTATATTTATAAATATAGTCTGCCGTGCTAAATGAAGCCTTGGCATGGACAAAATATAACTCAGAAAGATTGAGCAACAGAAGGCTGCACCTCGAGAATTTTGACTTCATGTGCCAGCATCAGAAGCAATGTGTTGTTTTTCCAGAATATGAACTTGCCTTGACAGTTTTGAAACCAAGCCTGGTTCTGTGTGCAAGCATGTGACGGCCTGGATTCACTTGACAGCAACCTGTCGTCCCATCATGCCGACCAAATGGAGAAGCAAATTGCCCATCAAAACAAGCAAATGGAGTGGACAAACGGTCCTGCCGCGAAAACAAATCAGCCACATGAACAAATGGTAAACACCCAAAGTTAGACGCACACAAGGCTGCCATCACCGAGGACACAAGGCTGCCACAAACAGGCGAAGGCTGCTCTGACCCCAGAGTGAGACAAACTCGGAGGGATGGAGGTGCGTTCAGTGCAGACGGTCAAACACACACAAACCGACGCAGCTGTTCTTGGAATGCCAGCATCTCCAGAATCTCAGCGCCTGCACCTGACCGCACTTTGAGGTGTTTCCCGCTGACCGCACTGCGCAAGCACACATCCACCAGCTGAGGCGGACTCTACGGCAGAGGGGCAATGAGGGGTGCGGACACAAGCTGAGGCCGACCCTACGGCAGTGGGGCAATTGCCGGTGCGATGGACGAAGGGCCAGTTGAGGCCGACGACCATCACACAAACAAGTCCATGCAAGGTGGCATTCTGCACTGCCCGCCCAATCTCGTCTCTTTGACAGAAACTCTACGTGGCAAGCGCCCTCAATCTGAAACCTGCTCCGACCATGTAGATGGACGCGGCATGCTGTCATGGTCGGACCAGTACATGGTGACTTAGTATTCGTTCTGCTGCGCCCTGAGGGGTATGGAAGGTCTATTTCCGTGTTTTTTTGGCATAGGGTGGGCCAAGCCTATCCTTGGATATGATATTCATTGATATTCGATCATGAATCATCAAACAATATCATACTCAAAAACACATGATGGCTCTAAAACATGAAGTGCCTCAACACAGTGTCCATTTTGGAAGTTGAAGAACCTCCAAAAGCATAGAGCAGCAGGGCCTAAATCTCGCAACCTCCCCACACTTCTCAAACCCCTTTTATCATTCGCTGTCAGTTTCCCACCTTTCTCCACTCCACTCTTTTTGAGCCGAGGCTCTGGAGTGTCTGATTGATCTAACGAATCCTCGGCCATCGACTGCGTCGGCCGCGGTCTTATTTATAAACAGGTCTTATGATAACTTGTGGTCTTATGATGTCTTATGATGACATTCACAGTCACCTTATGGTTCTCTTCGCTAACGCCCTTGGAACAGGATGGAACGTAAACAGGCGAACGGATGGATTCGGATTGAACGTGGGTCTGGGTGGACGTCCTGCCCCTCACCGCCCGGACGACAGGGCGCTGACGAGAGGGTCTGACCTTTATTCATGAGCTCCATCCAACATGCCGTGATTTCCTGTGAGTAGCTCGTGGCACTACTACAACAAATAGCCTGTCATACACCCAAAACTCCTGCACTGCATAAACGCATGCCGAACTATGCAATCTGCATTCGAATATAGGCAGAAGGTGCGGTCCAAGATACAAGGAACTGCCCATTGGCTTGCTCCATTCCTGAGCCAATCGTGTAGCCGAACTGATCCACTTCCTGATCTTCCTCCCCTGAAGTTCTGGGTTGACTTAAAGGGCCTAAACACGTTGAAGTCTCCGGTCAAACCCTCCTTCCATGACAGGATTTTGAGCCCCCACACCGCACGACAACGCACGAAAACGCAAGTGTGTACTACTAGCTTCTTGTTCCTAGTAGCAAGGCCAGAGCTACTAACTAGTAGCGTCCGATCGCTCCGTGCGTAGCGATGCCCGAAATGCTCCGTTCGTAGCTTCTTCTTCCCTCAGGCTAGCAGCGATGCACGTGCATGCGCGTTCGCGACCACTTGCTCCCGAGAGGCCCTCTGCACTCTCCAGCAAGGCGGGGATCCGACTCTTCCGCTTCGCCTCGGGAGACGGCGAACAAATAGCTACTAGTAACAAGTGCCTCGCTACTCGTAACAAGTGCCTTACTAGTAGTAACAATGTTTGCTATTAGGAACAAATAGAGGTTTGGACCTTTCACGGGAGAAGTCGGGAGACAGCCTGAAACATCGGTTCCCTTCCTGGAGAAGTCGGGCGTCTGTCTGTCTTTGGAGTAGGGCGTTGGCAACAAAAGACTCTTAAAGGATCCTTTATTTTTTTTTGTGGGATTCTGTTTTCTATCAATGGAGCATTCTGGAAAACTGAAGGCCCTGGATGGGGTGATGAATTGAATTGATTTGCGAGGTGTTTTCGGCCGCCCCGTCCTGCAAAAGGCTTTGAGGACATGAGCCAATCAGGAATTCGCCCAAGTCAGGCTCCGTTCCGCATGTCTTACACAAATCCCTACAGCTTTAGAAAGGCGCACCTCCGCTTCTGAATGGGTCCACAGAATCCACCTCAGCCACCAACAGAAGCCTCTTCCAAAGCCACCAACTCATCTCACTCCTTTGTTGCACTTCCTCGAGTTCCCACTCAGTCTGGCCTAACTAGCGGCGCCGCAGCGGCCTACGGCCTACACTCATCCGCGATTCGGAGTTGTGACATCGGTTCCTTCCGGGGGCGCTGGTGAATCAGCATAGGAATCATGAAACACCACCAAACAGCAGCTGTCTTGCATAAACAATGCAGTGAAACACCAACACCACAAAAGCCATGAATGCGAATCTCCATGAATCTCCATCAGCCTTCCTGGATGAGTGAAGCTATGAGCTGCTGGAGCTTGCGGCTTGCTACACGGAAGCGCTCTCAGTGACATTCAGGAGGCCAGCCAGGTCTTCCTCAATCTGTCGGCAAGTTCACTTCCCATGCATTCCCGTAGACAGTTGCCATCTCCCATAACCCCGCAGGGTTGCAGGATCTTCTGGGATGCACATGGGCTTCACATGATTTATCGGAACTCTGATGCATTATTTACTTGTACTCTCAAAATCAAGTATGACTACTCAAGTAATCGTTTACTACTTTCTGCATAGAGCTTTCGTGTCACATCGGAATTGCGCTTTGCAAGGAAGCGTCCAACATACCGCACTCGTGGAAGTGGGATCCTTTTGATTGGACCTCCCACAAGCCTCCTCCCCAGGTTTCAACATTTCTACAAGCGTCCTCAGCAACATCAGTGAGCTGCTCCAGCTGCCCGCCCTGAGCACTGCTTGCGTTGCTTGCATCCAGCTCAGCCTGGTTGGCGGCCTGCTAGGGCTGCAAGGGCTACGGCCGCGAGCACGTGCGCCCGCCCGTGGAATTTCGTAACAACGCTCTTGAACTCTTGCCACTTCTCCAAGCGATTCGATCTTTCCAAACAGGCATCTGGAGGTGGCTCATGGTGTCACAGGCAGATCCCACAAGGACACACTACCACATCACAAAACCGTGGCTTGCTCATCTCACCATCTCGAGGAAAAGGTCCACCCCCGTGGAACATCGATTTCCTCCACTCAGGCGGTTGATCCACCTGTTCATCTCTTCCGAGAATGGGTTTGAGATCTAGAGAGTTCTTTTTCCCAAGAACCACCACAGAACTAAGCTCAAAGTGAGACTGATTCACACCTCTCTGCTTTGTTTCCGAACCTTCGAACCTCGCAAGTGACACACTCATCTTCTGACTTCCTGCAGATCCTTCCACCTGAAGTTCTCTTCTCCATCCTCATCCACCTTTTTCGCCTCGGTCGCTCTCTCTCCCCTCATCCCCCATCCCCGGTCACCACCGTCCGGCCTCCTCGGCCTCGTGCTGCGCCCGCACCACGGAGGCGGCGATCTCCTGCACCGCCGCGCCGCTCAAAGCACCCGACGAAGCGGCACCCTGCGACGGCGGGGCGCGGAGGCCGAAGGGTGGGGTCGGATGCCGTCGGAGGGGTGAAAAAAAAACACCAAGGGTTTCCTATGGTTTCCTATTTGACCACCTAAGGCATGGGAAACCATTCAATGGATTCAATGGACTGTGATCCATTCATGACAGTGCCCTCCTTTTCAAATCCGCGCCTTCCTGGCCTTCACCCGCAGCAAGCCGACGGCAGTGCGTGGGGCAGGCGTTGGAAGGCTTCTGGAATCCTCCGCTTCGGCGGGAGGGAGGAAACATTCCACCCGTTCAATGCAGAATGGTGGGATTTAAGTAGACTTAAAAAGCAAAGAGCGATGTGGGTCATCACGAATCATCTGCTTCAGAATTCGGAAGAACATCTCTTTGTGACCCCGGAAGTGTACAGTTAAGGCATTGGGCACGTCTACTGGCACATATTGGACAAGCTACAAAAAGCAATCATGAAATTAGAAGCACCAGCGTTCTGACAGCAACATGCGGCCCTCCACCTTCTTTTCAAGCCTGGTCTTATGGTTTGGAGTGCAAAAATGGTCAGGGAACGCACCAACGTCTCTTGAGCGCCATGGTGCCGGCACATGAAGCTGCACTAGCTTTGGCATGGGCTGTATGGAGCCGCGCAGGGCCTTGGCCTCTGACGCATTGGAGCGGGTCAAGTCAGCCACAGCCAGTGCCTTAGCAGTTGTTCCTAGTAGCTTATGGTTTCTAGTAGCTTCTTGTTACTACTAGTAAGGCACTTGTTACTAGTAGCGATGCACTTGTTCCTAGTGTTTGGTGAGACTCAGGTTGGGCTTGATAGATTTTGATAGAGGACCCGAGCGAGCAGCTGAGGAGGCGGATGTATGCCAATGAGGCTCACGGAAGCCAACTAAATGCTATAGCAACAGAGTCAACTTTGAACGCAAGGGGCTGGACCACTTCTTGAAGCTTCAAAGGCTTGTGCTCATTTGTGCTCCCTTCAGCATCGTTGATCGAGCTCGTGCTCAAATAAAGTGAACATGTGAACAAAGGAATGCCAGGTTGAAAAGAACTACTTCAACCAAAGCTCGACAGCAGCGTCCACTGACGCGCGTGGCTGTGTGTTAGGCACAGCCTTTGCTTCGGTGTGGTTGGATGCAGCCTGCAGGTCAGCCACTGCCTTCTCCTTGGCCAAATGAAGTTGTATTGGATCTATGTGATTAGCATGGATCGATTGCCCCTATGTTAAAGGCAAACACATCACTCATACACGGTTCGCAAGTAGTTCCAGTTGTGCTCCAAATCAACAGGGGGAGTGAGGTTGCTTGCGGTTGTTGGGCAGCTTCAATTTCGTGCACCAGGCAGTGCTGGGTTCTTCGGTTCCAAAGGATATCTGCAGCCAAAGCTCCACAGCCGTATCCACTGATGCGTTTAGCTGGCTCTTGCGCAATGCGGCTTCAGACTGGTTGGATCTGGCCTGCACCTGGGTCACCACCTTCTCCTCGGCAAAAAGCGCACGTGTCAAACATGGGGTCTTAATGGCAACGCCTCTCTGCACGTTTTTCTTCTTGTGGTCTTTGTGCCCACTCTTCCAGCATTAGCATTAGCAGCATTTGCCTGGCTTTCGTGGAGTGGACAGTGTAAGATTTCACAGAGCACCCTTGTAAACCTTGCAGTGGATGATGATGGTTCGTAAAGGCCTTTCTCTAAAATAGTGACAATTGTTTACGTGTCCTGTTGCAGGCAATAGAACAGGCCAAGCTAATTTACATGTCAAAGCAAGGCGCATGTCTCTCACTGCGCAGCCAAAGCACAGCCGTGTCGACGGTTTCTGCGTGTTGCCCTTTGCGCAATGCGAAGCTGGTTCCGGTCCTCTGGTTCACTGCCTTCTCCTCAGCGAAGCTATTCGAACAGGAAAAACGAAAAGCCACATATAGCGCCGCTATAGTGAGTAGCTGAGAATGCAGGAACTAGAACTGGTATGATCCTGATTCTAGGGCACCCTTGAATCAGCTCTGCATGTTAAGATTGTGCACACGATGATTTGCATCAATCCAACCTCCAAAACCATGGAAGGCAAATCAGTGGAGGATAGGCACCTCTCTTCAGCCGAAGCTCCACCACCACCATGGGAGTGCCTGCTGACGTGTGCAGCTGGGTATCACGCACTGCCTTTTCTTCAGAATGGTTGGACTGGGCTTTCAGGTCAGCCACCACCTTCTCCTGAGAGAAAGCATACGTTTCCAGAACCATAACACTCGCCTTTCCAAGACATACACTTGGTGCGCACCAAGTGCTATCCGATACTGTATCTATTTGGACTGCACGATGCGGAATCAGTTTCCACATCGCTACCATTTCAACATATTTCAACTGGGAACGCCACGCCGCCACGCCCTCACCTGGCTATTCCGGCTATTCCAAAAAGAACACCTGACAAGGCCCGCTGTGTTTCTGACAAGGATCGATGTGTGCCATGCTCGTTGCGAGCGCATGGACTTCCCGTTCCAGGCTTTCCATTCGTGAGCTGTTCACCGAAGTGCTCTGGCTCGCTGAAGCTTGTTGGCTGACACCTAGCCACTATATGGCAGCTACTATAGCAGCCTATAGCACATGTCAAACACATGAAGATGGAAGAACAACTATTCGCGATTTCTGTGAGCACTCAACAGCTCTCAAGAACTCCCTGCAAAAGGTTCCTTTCGTGCCGACTTCGAGGCGCTGGATTTGGCTGCGAGCATGGATTTGGGCACGCCATCGCCGGACTCACAGCGCTGGCAAGGAATGCCCGTGTCAAAGGTTTCCTCGGCATCCTCAGTGTTCTTTTGTTGGGCCCAAGCGAAGGACTTTGTCGCTAGCCTCCGAATTGATGTTGGCCTATAATCGAGTCTACGGTCTATCCCTAAAAATCCGGGCCCTCCAACAAATAGGGTTTGGTTCAGGCCCGGACCCCTGCTATGGAGGGTTCGAACCCTGCCACGGAGAGCCCAAGGATTCTTAGGTATATTATATATATACCAGGTTACTAGACTTGGGGCGTCTTCTTTCATTGGTAGCCTGAGTGAGTCAATCCAATCATTCATGCCGTGGCTCGAAGCCACCCTCCTGAAAACTATGAAGCACTTGTCCACCATCTTGATCCACGCAAATCAAGCGAAGTGCATAGGTGGCCTGAGAGGGCAAGGTACCAGGATTCATGAGGTAGTGAATGGTACCGAGTAGCGCGGGCGACCAACAAAACACTTGCTTATCCGGATCAGCAGGCCCATGTTCAAGCAGAGGGCGCGCGTGAGTGCCACTGGGTAACCACGAACCCAAAAAAGCAAACTCGTATGGAACCCTGAGTGAATTCCACATGGCCTTGTCCAACTGACCAGTTCCTTTCATGGAACGTTTCCCCTAGAAGTCCAAAGACTATATTTTGCCCCACAGAAGTAAAACATATTCCTGAACTTGGGTCATCTAAAGACCATTCTTTTGATAGTCTTTGACTCCCAGGGTTTCTACTTCATTAATGACATGATATGACATGATCATGTCTTCCTGCGGCCCACTCCGACCGAGCCGCAAAGCTGGGCTGCTGTGCGCAGTCGGTCTGCACCACGCAGGTCGCGGACGGCGCGGCGCTCACGAAGGCTGAGACGCAGGCGCCCGGGCCGAAGCGTGTGATCTCCCGGAGTCTTTGATCTGGAGGCTTCGGGGCAGGTCGTGAAACTGGGGCGGAAGAAGTGGACCAAACCCGGCTGGCTGAAATGGACGCGGCACGGAAGTGCTTGGTGGAAAGGGGGTTTCGGGCACTGGATAAAAGGAACCCAAGGTGGAAGGAAACTTGGTAACCTTAGGCTGTCATAGCTGTGGGGTGAGTGTTGTGAGTGGTCTAGGCCAATGATGCAAAAACCCAAGCGGTGGCCTGGCCTGCTAGATCCTGCTACTCTGGTCGCTCGCGCCAGAAGTGTGAGCTCCAAACACTCATGTTACAGGCGTAGACCCACCCCGCTTTGTGTATCTTGACAGATCTCCATAGTTTCTGAAACCGACCTCAAGCATCCAGCTGAAGAATACACAAGAACATGAAACATGGGCTGGACAAGGGGCCCCCTTCCCGGCACAAAAAAACAACCATTTTGAGTTATAGAGCTTAGTGGGATGCAACTGATCTTTGTTTGTGAACCAGCTTGCCAGCTAATTACTAGTGACTAGTGAAAGAACTGGGTGTGCTACTGAGAACAACAACTGGGCTTTCCATGACTTTCCTGTCAAGCCCTTCCAACTTCCCTTCTGCCTTCTGCGCTTTGCAAGCTGGCGCCGGCCGCTTGCAGTGGCAGGACAGCCAAAAGAGCTGCCCACTTCATTCTGATCCGCAGATCTTGAGCCAAAAGGGCCCCTCAATGCCCTTCAGATCCATCAAACACCATGAAAACCCTTCTGAACTTCCATTCTCCCCCGGTCTTCTTGGACCATCTCCCAAACGCTTGGCGGCGTTTCCAGGACTGAGGAAAAAACAAAAAACAGTTGAAAGCTAAAACCTTGGTCTATCTCCTGGTAGGCCGACTCAAAACGCGAACGATCGTATCCGGTCGCGTCACAGCCTGTTTTCCAAAGTCTTGAGCCAAACGTAGTTGGCGAACAGTCACACAGTTCACACGGCAATGCTACTTTAGCATACCGATTTCAGATTATGCAATTCTTTACATGACAATTCCAATCTTGGACAAGTGATCCTAGATTCCTCTTATCAACTATACATGTAAGCATGCAAGCCTCACTCAAAGCTCAGTTCATCTTGTGGTTGTTTTAGCTGAGGGATTTCATCTAAAACACAACCAAAAAACAGTCTCTCCGGTCTTCTTCCTTTTCTTTTTCTTCTTCTTCTTCTTCTTCGTCTTCATCGACTTCACGACATTGACCTCCTCTCGCATGAATGCGGGACTAGGGGATCTGAAACAAATGTCAACCCAACCTCATACAACACACACACACACACGTGGAACACACACGTGGGACACACACGTGGAACACACACGTGGAACACACACGTGGAACACACACGTGGAACACACAGGCACAAGGAGACTTGCTTTTCAACAGCAAAAACACCTACCTTCTGCCCATGCGTTCCTGCACTCCTTCTCTTCCACGAAAACCTTGACCTATGCATCGACATCTCGGCGGATCGAGGATCGATCGAATTCCATGACTTCGAATGCCTCCATGACGGAGCTCTGAAGCGAGCGATTCGACGAATCTTGAAGTGTGAACACCCCTTTTGGTTCATTGGGTTGTCCTAGAAGAAAGACTTTGGCAAGGGATTTCATAGGACCTTCAACCAATCATGAAGGTCCGGGAGACCTGAACAAGATAAAAACAGAGTCTGGACCATCTGGATCTCTCACAAACCACTGAGGTTGGGCTTCTCTCACCAACTTTAGATACACCTTAAACACTTAGAAGATCTTAGAGGCATGTATGTTGCCCAAAACGCGCACACACACACACACACACCCCTCCTCACTTTTGGAGAAACACATTGAGGATCATTGAGGTATTCGTTCCCTTCTTCGTCCAAGTGGCCTTCTTGGAATCCATCCGTGGATGGTGCGTGCCCGCTTCCGAAATGTAGGAGGCCACCGAGTTTTCGGACGTCTGGAGCGCCGCAAAAAGAAGATCGACCGGTTCGTTCGTGCTTGGTGATCGGGTTGGTTGGTTATATAGTTGACCAATGCAGGTCGAACGTGGGTGGAGGCAAACGTTTCTGAAGCATTCTGAAGTAAGGAGTCTAATAAGGCTTCCGTCTAAGGAGTCTAGGACCGAGTCTAGGATAGTCCAGGTCAGGCGGATTCAGATCTGTCCCTGGCTTCGGTGTGTTCGAGGTGGTGAGCATCCAACTGCCTACGGTCCCCCCCAAACGGAAGCTGGTGGATGCGGGCCGCTCGGTCCCGCGCTCGGCCCTCAGTTTCCGGGCGTACCGAGGTGGGTGCACTTCGATTCCAGGCGGCCCAGCTGGCCCAGCTGGACACCGGGCAACTCGCCAGTCCCAGTCGGTCGCTCCCCAGTCTTACCCGGCCTCGGACTGCATCAACGAATTATTCGTCTGCTGCGAGCTATCCCCAGACTGGTTGCCCCTGCTGCTGGTAAAGGCCTTCCCCGAAGCCAGACGGCCACCTGAACATTCAATGAAAGTATGGGCTAAACTTGAGTAAAATACCGAACCTCACATTTCCTTTCTTCCTTTTCTTCCTTTCACAACAAAACCGTATCATAAAAGATCACAGTTTTTGATCAAGAAAGCCGGCAATTCAGGCTCACAGCCCAAGGTTTACACAAGCAACCGGACTCCAAAGCGTACGATGCAGGACGCGCAGGCCACAGCGGGCACAGCGGGCACGGAATTCGTGCTGAGAAGTGGCCGAGAAGTGGCGTGCCCGGCCTGTCTGGAAGCCCGTGGCGCTCCCAGTCCCAACGGACAACTCCAGTAAATGCTGCTGGAGGAGTCTCCTCGTGTGCCGGCAATCTTGAGAACAAAAGAAACCCAGCCCATGTGATTACCAAGCGCTGGAGACCAGATGCTGAACATGCTCCACCCCATACTTAACCCGTTACCCATGATTGGCCACCAGCTTTTTGACATAGGGTGGAAGATGGTGGAACCGCACATTGTGGAACCCCACTCATCAAGGAAAGTTCCCTACATTCAATTCTCGCCCCCAAAGCAATCTGAAAGCCCACTTCGAAGCCACACCCTTCACAACAACACCACCATGGAAAGCAAACACCTGTTTGAAACCCTTTAGGACCCCAAAGCCTCCACAGCAACCTTTAGGCCCCATGGCCTAAACAGCCAGCGGTGCTCCTCCCAAAACCGAGCATGGCATCGAAATGCATCGAAGCATTTCAAAGCATTTTTGGCCAACTTGGCCTCTCCAACGGCGGCTTTCTTCGCGCCCAAGGAGCTGGAGGAGATCTTGAAACGCCGCCGATGCTTCTCCCTGGCCCTGGTTCCCCACCTCGCCCAGCCTCAGTGACTGGGCACAGGGGGGGACAGGGGGCCCTGTGAAAGCCTGGCATTTTCGAAGCAATCCACACTCCTCGGAAGGATCATGGAAGTGGAAGGATGGCATGGCCACACAAAAGGCAGCCCCGATTTTGTTGGTCCAATGATGACCACTTTTCCGAATACCAAACAGGTGGTGCCATCATGTGCCATCCACTTCCATGATGATTCCACCAAAAGCGTACTGAGCGTACCACACCCTCTTGGCACGTCAAATCAGCACTTGACACCGTCCAGCGGATCGGCGCACAGCACAGAGGCCATCGAGTGGCTCGAAGAAAGGCATGTCTCCATCATCACAATGGGGTGAGCTGGGCCTCGGTAGACTGCCAAAGGTTGCATCACTCTCCAGCCAGTCGTCGCCTGCAATAGAGGCCTATAGATCATGCATGAAAAGGCGGGTATATGGTGTTTTTTGTGCAATAATATATGTGCAACCGCAACCCGAATCAACCAAGCCTCCTTGTGAGATCTGAGACATCGTCGTTGCAAGCAGGTTTTTGGTGTCAAAGGTCCCCCATCCTCCTTGGCTTAAAACCAAGCCACCAGGCATTCCAGGGGCCTCGCTGAGTCCTTACTCTGTGCTTGGCACATCCATTCGGCCAGCATCTACAACCCCCCCTGACCTGCCCTCTGAACAGCGAGTGGCTGCGTGCTCGGTGCACCATGGAGGACCATGCTCGGTGTCCTGGGTGGACAGAAAGCGCGGGACGCTCCAAGATGTTCTAAGCCCAAAGAGGAAAACGATTCAATGGCCACAACGAGCCCCAACATTGGCCATGCTGCCTTTTAGGGGTCCACGATGCTGAAAGCATGCAAAAGGGGCATCGACGGAAAGCGACGCTTCGAAAGGACGCTGCGCCCATTCACTGGTTATTGCGATTCGGTGAGTGAATGATTCGGCGCGCTCATCGGAACAAAAGTCGACTGGTGGAACTGGACAAAGAGGAGGGTCTTGAACATGACAATAAGGGCATCACAAGAGCAGAAAACAAAGCTGAGAAAGCTCCAAAAAAAACAAGAACCTTGGCCAGTGCAACGCTTCGTCTCTGTCAACCAACTGAACTAACGATGTTGAAAAGAATCCATGGCATGGACGGGGAATCCCGGGTGCTTAGAGGCGAAGAACCGGAGAGTTCTGGGGGGTTGCGATATTTTTTCGGTAGCCGGCCGCAACCCACTGTCGAACACACGGTCTCGAGTGTCGAGTCGTGCTTTTCACTACTCAAAGCGCGTAATTCGTGGCTGATGGCCTCACCTGAAATCGACGACCCGATCACTTTGACGAAACGCAGGGTTTTGTTCGCCACACGACGTGCCACACTGAGATCTCCCCCAACGAAACGCCTCTATTCTTTGGTCTGTTTTAGCTATATTTAGCTATTAGCTATTAGACGAACCTTGAAATGATTGGGTCCCGCATCTCACATCCAGCCATCGAAGAAAAAAGACCGGGTGGGAAATGGTCGGAATATGGTTGGAAAAAAAGGAATAGCAGCACCTGAATCATCCTGAATCACTACCTTCTCCCCCCAGTGCGGTGAATCCTCTGACTCTACTTACATCTTACTACTTGCAGCATCTGATGCAAATTGAGAGTCTGATTGATCCAAGATGGAACCAGCTGGAGCTTCTCTGGTGTCTCGGCCATGTATTGCTGCGCACTGCTCTGCTATGCTATGCTCTATGTGGCTGCGCTCTGCTCTGCGACCCTGGATGCTTCTTCCCCCAAATCCAAGACGTCCTTCTGGATGCCCTTGTGCTCTTTTCAGAGGCTGTCAAACAACAACACACCATCCCCGTGCCGTTGCAGCAGTTGTCACTTAGTGAGCTTAGGACAGGCCCAAAACGCAGGTCAGAGGCCCTGAAAGGCTCACACTCATCGCATACCCGTGCTAGCTGGACCTTCTCTAAGCCGTGTGTGTGTGGCCGGATTTCGACTAGCGACCTGCAGCATGCCCACCGTTTGATCCAAAGAGATAGTATGCGGCGGAGCGGTCTCGAGATCACCAGCTGTCCTAAATGACGTGAGGGACTGGAACTGAGTAACATGGGATGGTTGACAGGATGGTTGACAGGATGGTTGTTGGGCTGTGTTGCTTTAACCATAATGGCGTTCAGCTTGACTAGATTGTTCCAGGTGATCACTTTGTAAGCATGCCGATCGATGATTGCCAATGATTGCCATCAGCATCTCAACACATCCGAAACTGTCTGAAATTCTCTAATGCACATGAGGCATATCCACGAAATCCCGCCCCCTTGCCCTTGGACCTGCATGTGCCTCTGCATCAATAGCATGTCCTTGCGAGGGCTTCCGCCGAGGGTGGCGTACGGACGTAAGCAACTCACACGGTAGCCAAGGGGAAGATCATCAGCTGGGCTAGCAAACTC